GCAATGGAATGAAGGGCTGTCCAGACCTTTGCCGGCCAACCCCTCACCCCCAACCCCAATACAGATGGAACCATTGTGCTCCATGGGGTTTTCAGAAGGAGGGCCCCAGGTCTTTTCTCTTAGTCCGTTTTAGTCGGGAAGCTCTGCTGATGCCTGATCAGCAGCATAGCAACACCCAAGCCTCTGCTAACAGATGGTAGCTGCACACGAAAGAGGTGCATTGGCCGGGACTTGAACCTGGAATTCCCACAGGGAAGGGGAGCATTCTACCATGACTGCCTCATGCGATGCGGGTCTACCTGGAACCAGCTTGGCTGGCATGGACTTTCCCATCAGCCCCTGCCACGTGGCCCTGCACCCCAGGCGTGGCGGTTCCCCTGGCTCTGAGCCCTGAGCACAGGGGCTCTGGTGGGGAGGCTGGGACAGGGCGCACTGGTTAATAACACAACAGATGCATTTCAGGAGCTAGAAATACAGCAAAGAGCTGAACATATTTTAGCTGCACAAGGCAACGGAGTGGGATTTTTTTGTTGCCCTTCGTTCTTTTGTGTTGGCCTCTTCTGGAATGATTTGGCTACGGCTCACACACTCAACCCTCTGCCTCCCCGCCCACCCACCCCTCAGGCTATAGATGAGGGGGCTTCAAAAAGTTCATGGATAAATCATGGAATCTTTCCATATAATTTTTGAAGCTCCCACCCCCCTGTATAATCAAGGGCTATATTGTGTCAGGGTCACAGCGTTCTGGGGGGAAGTGAGTTGACGTGTGTGCTCTCACACTGTGTATGTGTGCACACTCGCACACACATATAGACTAGGGTGCTTTAGAAAAGAGAGTGCTGTGATGGGGTGGGGACCAGGCAGAATAATGAATGAAGGAACAGAGGGACAAATGGACAAACAACTAAAAAATTGCCCAGCCCTGAAGGGCATCTGCAGCCTTGCTGGCCCCAAATGGAGACAGGCTTTTCCAGGCAGTGGGTGCCTTTAGCAGTTCACTCAATCACCGTTCGACCTCGGATCCACTACAACACCTCTCCAAAATCACCTCCACCTCCTTTAGAAACAAAAGTAAGGAGAATAGGTCTGGTGTCTGAGTGACTCGCTCCCTCGCCACTTCCTTTGCCACTATGGTCCTTTCCCTGGTGCTCCGGGGGCTGGGGGAGGAGAGGAGTGTGCGGACTTGTGTAAGCGGGTGTTGACTGGAAGATCTCCCCAGCCAGGAAGCATGGGATTCTGGGCCCAGAGCACCCTCGGCAGCCGCGAGGCCTCACAGACCACTCACAACGATGGCCTTGGACTCCCTCCCACCACAGCAGGCACACCCTTGTGCCCCGGGACCGCAGCTCCTTGTCCAAAGGGGAAGCTCACTTTTCCATCCCATGCCTGGGACATGGCCAGGCGACTTGTTAGGGTGTTAGGCTTCAGAAGTGTTCCCACTACAGGGCTTGCCTGCTTTGGGCTGGAGTTGGGGCCCTGAGGCCACAATGCGGCTGGATTTGCTGCAAGGCCAGGCCTGGTGGTCTCTGTGGGGCTCTGTGTGTGCTTTATCTTCTAGGCGCCCTGACTTCCTAGTGTGTGGCCCACCCGCTGCATTGTCAGCGCCCTGGGGTCTTCCTCTATCAAGGGAACCCCCTCCTTGTTTTTCTGGTTTTTAATCTTATATACCTCCTCCAACCATTAAGTAGGGAACTAACCGTGAGTTATGCTTTTGAACTCAAATGGAATCTTTATGAGGATGGTACATTTTTGTGTTGTTGTTGTTGTTAGGATGCCATTGAGTCTGGTACGACCCTTAGCGATCTTGTGCACAACAGAAGGAAGCACTGCCCGGTCTTGAACCACCCTCACAATGGTTCCTGTGCCTGAGCCCATTGTTCCAGCCACTGTGTCCATCCACCTCCTGGAGGGCCTTCCTCTCCAGTTTACCAAACACGCTGTCCTTCTCCAGGGTCTGGTCACCCCTGACAATATGTTCAAAGTCTGCATGATGAAATCTCAACGATCCTTGTCTCTAAGGAGCACTCTGGCTGTACTTCTTCTACGACCGTTTCGTTGTTATTGTCCTTTTGGCAGTCCATGGTAATCTCAATGTTCTTCTCCAACACCACAGTTAAGGTGCACAGATTCTTTTTCAGTCATCCTTATTCAATGTCCAACTTTCTCATGCACACGAGGCAACTGAAAGGAGCATCCTTGCTTTTCAATACCCTAAAAAGGTCTTGTGGGGCAGGTTGACCTAAGGCAATGTACCTTTTGATCTCGACTGCTGCTTCCATGAGTACGGATTATTGATTCAAGCAATGTGAAACCCTTGACAACTTCAACCTTTTCACCACTGATCATGATGTCACCTACTGGTCCGTTGTGAGGGTTTTGATCTTGACATCGAGTCATACTCCGTGCTGAAGGCTGCCATCCTTGATCTTCATCAGCAAGTGCTTCACGTCCTTCCTTCGAGCAAGCAAGGTTGCTCACCTGCATCTCACAGGTTAGGAAGCCTTCCTCCAGTCCTGATGTCACATTCTTCTGCATAGAAGCCGGCTTTTCTGATGATTGTCGCAGCACACAGATCGAATAAGCATGGTGACAGAACACAAGCCTGACACGCACCGTTCCTGCGGTTAAGCCAGGCAGTATTCTCTTATTCTGTCCGCACAGCTGCCTCTTGGTCCATGCACAGGTTCCACATGAGCACAAGGAAGTGTTCTAGAACCCCATTCTTCTCACAATCATCCACAGTTTGCTATGATCCACACAGTCCAATGCCTTGGCATAGTCAATAAAACACAAGTAAACATCTCTCTGGTATTCTGTGCTCTCAGCCAAGATCCATTGGACATCAGCAATGATATATCCTCTTCTGAATCTGGCCTGAACCTCTGACAGCTCCCTGCAGTCGTTGTTGGAAGATCTTCCGCAAAACTGTGACCTTGTAGCTCTCCATTTTCCTCTCTAAAGTAAGGGGACCAGGGTTTAACACTGGTAAAGCGGGACACCATTGATAAAACTCATATCCTGGCGAAGTAGCCACATGGCAGCGGAAAACTATATACCCTAGCTTGTCGTGCATTCTTTCCAAAAATCGGGATTTTTAAAAACGCCGCGGTACGCGGGACAAGTTGTTAAAAATCGGGACTGTCCCGCCAAAAGCGGGACATCTGGTCACCTCACTGTAAGGAGGCCAAAGACTCCTTGGAGCACAGCCCGTCGGGCTGAGACCCAGCCTCGGGGCCTGTGCTCCTCCATTCAACTCACCTTCCTGGGTTCTAGTCTGTAGCGCAGTGAATTATATAATATGGCCTAGCCATTGGTCTTATATCTATCATGAAATGATTGGGTGGGGCAAAGCAAATGAGATGCTTATGGCCCACCAAAGGAATTAGACATTATTTGTTAATAATGCAAATAAGCTTCATGGTAACCTCTGTGGGGGCGTAATTATGCAAATAAGGTCTATAGAATGCTTACAAAGAGATTGGTCAATGTTACTATTCCATTGGGCTGAAAATAAGCCCTCCTAGAAGCCATGAAGGGAGGCCATTACCACCAAGAAGAGACAGGAGTGTAGTGTATCCTTTGAAGCCAGGATTCCTATATTGAGAACCTTCTAGAAAGAAGGGAAGTAATACGGGAGATAAGGAGAAACCGTGAGGCACAGAAGCAAAAAAAAAAATGGTGGTAGAAGAGGCAGCAGAACCAGGAGATTGACAGGAGATGGTGAGGCGGGCTTTCTGGCCCACAGAGCCAGAGCAGAATACCTTCAGAAAGGAGGCTTGCTGGCAGAGTGGGGTGCCTCGGGGCACTTGTTGGCAAAGCTAAAGAGCTTTTCACACTCTGAATCAGGACAGAGGACAAGTCCTGGGCCAAGGAGGGGCTGGGTATTGGCACAGCTAGCCTGATTGAAGAACTGCATCCTGAGTAGTCTTGATCCTGAATTATAACCTGTTACTTTCCTACTTGTGAGTTTTGTGTAGCCATGACAACACTTTATTGGACCCAGCAGAGACTGCCGTGGGAAGAACATATGGGGATTCTGTCTAAATTCCACTTAGATCGGACACCAAGGAGATGGAAAGTTCAGTTCTGGGCCAAATTAAAATTCCTTGGCATTCCTTGGCATTGGCAAGGCATGCTGGTCCCCGAACCACATGTGACCTTCAGAAGAGCCATGTGGGGTGGGGCCACCTCCCCTGGACAGACGAGGATGCTAAAGCCGCATAAGTGACTCACCTGCCAGATGTCCCACAGCAGGAAGTAGCAGGCCTGCTCTACCTGAACCCAAACTCACACCCCTGCTCCCAGCGCTTTTCCTACACGCCCCCCTGAAATCTGTGTTCTGCATTTTGGTAAGTGTTATGGAATGAAGTGCGGTCCCTTAAGTCACACGTTGGCTTCTTGGTCCCTGTACTTGGTGGATGTGATCCTGTTTGGAAACAGGGTTTCTCCTTCGTTACAAGAACGAGGCCACCTGGGGTAGGGAAAGTCCAGACCCAATAGCCTCTGCGGGATTAAAAAGATCCGATGCAGAGCCAGAGGCAGGGGACGAGCGACTCCTTGGAGGACCTGTCTCTGGAGAGAGGGGCTCCCAGGAGGCCCCCGGCCACTGACTAGGGATGCCCTCCTGCCAGAGCCACACCCTGAATGGGGACTTTGAAGTCCTCACTTGAGCTGTCTGTGCTACAGCAGCACTGAGTAACCAAGACAGGGGAGAGCACTTTCTCACAGAGCGGTTCATGTGGGTCTCTCATAGACTCCTTAAAAATCTACAATGCTCAAGGCTGGCCCCCAAGGTTCATAATAATGAGATCTGGGGGTTGGCAACATTACACCCTGTCACGAAGACCCATTGCCACTCATTGACAAGATGCAGAAAAAAGACACCCCCACCCCCACCCCACCCCCGGTCTTCCCAGACCCCATGTGTAACCTTCCTCCAGTCCCAGGAGCTAGAGGAAGGGGCCCGGTTGTACACCACCGCGGAGGCTGCGCAGACTCACCGTGTAGAGCTCGTTGGTCACCTTCAGAAGCTCCTCGTGCATCTGCAGGCCGATCTCCTTGCTCTGGAATAGGGAGGAACACGTGTCAGGGGCCAGAAGGTGGCTGGTTGCATCCACCCATTTGTTGTCAAATATAAAAAGTCAGATATAATTTGGGGTGAGGCAGGAAGTGGGACAGCCGTCAACCCTATTCTCGTGGACCCAGACATGAATTGTTCTGTTCGTGTCTGTGAAAGCCGGCCAGAGAGAGAGAATCCTTGGCAAAAAGGAACTCTCTGGTCCCCTCAGTTGGGGAACCCTCCACATCCCCTCCCTGCCTTGGTGATTCTCTGGTGACATTCATTAGCATACTGGGGATTCTGAAGCATCCTACAGACAGGCTTCTCCTCCCAGTTCAATCCTGTGCTTCCTAAGCTCACTTGCCAGAAGGTGCACCCCTTGTTCGATGCTCAGTAACATCTTATGAAGGCAGGGCTCTACAAAACACAGCTTGGGAAAGAAGGATGGAGGCTCTCCGTGAGGATGAAGGATACTCTCAGGGCATTCCCGGACTCCCTGGGTCCTGGTTCATATCTTCTTTGACTAGGAACCAGCGGTGGGCACACAGAGGTCAGTATTGAACTAGCCCAGCGAGGCCCAGACCGTCTACCTCTAACACCAACTTGTGCGATGGACAACAGATCCTGCTCCGGTTGCCCACTGCAGCCTGTGGTATCTCAGGTGACCCTCCCGGATCAATGCAGACCCCAACTGCCCACTTCTCTCTCTCTCTCTCTCTCTTCTCTCATCTTGGCTGCTTGAAGATGTAGCACTTCCCAAAGTGTGCTGTGGGGGTCCCTGCTGGGTGAGCCCTAAAAGGAGGTAGGGCTTCTGTGGTCAAAGACCATGGAGAAAAGCTGGCTCAGCACAGGCAGGCAGGAGGTCTTGGCTGTAGCACTTCCAGGCCTCACCCCCACCTCCTGGGCACAGAGACATCCCCAGAAGGGGTGGGCATACGGTTCCTTCCACCCTGCTCCTTCTGGCCTCCGGCGACCCAGGTGACCAGCAGGTGAAGGGACAAAACTTAGAAAACAGTGACAAGATGGCGTGGAGGGTTCTGCTCAGCCTGGAAACTCCAGGAAGCTGTGCTAAGAGTACCGCCGTCATTATTCTGGCTAAACACTCTCCTTGTTGGGAGTCCCTCGGTGGTGGAAAGGGTTAAAGTGCTTGGCTACTAACTGAAAGGCTGGTGGTGATTCAGAGCCCTTCTCCCCCCCTCCCCCAAGGGCCCTCCCCAAAGTCACAGCTGTGAAAACCTTGATGTTGGCTCGCCAGAGTCAGCATCAAGCTATTAGCAGCTGGCCAGGGTGCTGTTACTGTGGTTTGGCTTGGCCTGCACCATCAACGTGTGTCTCTATCGATATTCCAGGCCCTGACGCCTCCCTGAGGAGATCAATAATCCTGTTCTCAT